TATATGTCGCATATACTAAAATTAACAAGCATTGTAAATGTTTTAATTTTTTTTTTTTCGGAATGTCAAAAGAATATTTGTTTGATATTTTAATAAATCTGAAAAGTATTTCAAGAATAAATATAAATTAAAGCGGTGGTATTTATTTATGCATTTTGGTATGTGTATAGATTTAAATGTATACATGTATGTATGTATATATATTATATGTATACCTTGTTTAGTTTTTTTTATGTGAGGGAGCAGAAGTCTTTGAGCATTGCTCGCAAAGAACTGTTAAACGTTTTATTCTTCACACTCCGTGAGATCAATCGAAAAAATCTTATTAGACTTCAGGTCTTTTCGCTTTTATATATTATATTTGTGATGATCTTTAAATGAACATTGTTTAGTGGGCGATACGATTGACGTGCGCTCAATGAGAGCTACTGGGCTGTCCATATTCGAGGAGCCCATCTGGCAGCCCTATATCTCTCCACAGAGGCAGGCACAATACGCCGTACAGGCTCAAGGCGGCCATTTGAGAGATATCTTATTCAAAAAGTGATGTACACAAACCTACTTGAAGCAAATAAAATGAATATTATTGAAATTAAAATAAAAATAAAATAAAAATGAAATTGTATTTGGCTTTCATTAAAAAAAAGCATGGGTTCGTCGAATATGGGCAGAATATGTGAACAGCTCTGCAGGATGTGTAGATAAATATCTGAAGAGCCTGAAGAGCCTGTAGTTGAATCCAAAAAATACATTTCTGTCCGAACTCATTGAAGAACCGGCATAATCTCTCTCTCTCACTCTCTGACTTTTTTTCAGAGTGGCCGTAAAAGTAGTTAGATGATCTAGTTTGAAGTTCAATTTTTAATATTTAGATTTTGCAATAACAATAGCAAGAATAATATTGCATTAAATAATTGTATTAAAGTAAATCATAAAGCTTCAAGTTCTTGGAATATTTGAATTTTCAATGGTTTTCCACATCCTTCTAGCAGTTCTGCTTATGGTACAGGGTATTTTCTAGCCGGCTATAGCACTCTTCTTTATTATTTACATTTAAAAACAATTATTAAGTTGCATTCTACAATGAGTTACAGCAAACCGAGTCTTTGGCAAGTCTTACCCCTGCAGGGGCTGAGCAGCCGCTCAGCTCGGAAATTGTGGGCCATGGCTTAGCTTTGTTGAGTCAGTGCTTGACTTTCGTTTTCCTTATCAAACAAGATTTGTGGTGCATTTAATTGATATTGAAATGCAAATGGAAATGGAAAATTGTCGGAGCAACGGCAAGAAGCTGTAGCTGAAGCTGAAGATGAAGCGGATGTTGATGTTGGAGCTAATAATGCTCAGCTCTCAGCTTGGGGGCGGTGAGCAATGCACTTGGGGGTGGCTCGGTGGCGATGTGTGCTTGAGTTCAATTTTATTTTTGAGTCTGTTTCGTTTTGTTTTCTTTTCTCTTCTCTGCTCTTCTCTTCGCTTTTGCTTTTTTGTTGTGCTTAAGAGTTGGGGCTAGGCAACCGCAAAATGCAATTTGGCCAAGCAAATTATACGTAAAGTTTTGTGAGACGCTCCGAGAGCAGCGGGCGGTGGTTAGCCAATGTAATCAGCCGAGCATGTGACGTGTCCTTTCAGCGAATGTTGAGCCACACATACACACACACACAAACACATACTCAAATTTGAGATGGCGTCTCCTTGGCGACAAAAACTTTTGCCGGCCAATCAGCTAGAGCCATGGCCAAAAGCCGCAAAACCCAAACACAGTTCCAATTCGCATTTGCGGCCATTTCGGCTGAAATCTCTAACAAAATTACAAATTATGCCGAGAGTTGAGAAAGTGGGCGTTGCGGCAAGTCTTGGACAAATGAAAGGGTCACACACACACACACACACACACACACAGACACAGAGACACACAGTCACACTCACACTCACAGTGAGTCGAGTAAATTGATCCACATGCGACAAATAGTTGTGGATGAATGGGAGGCAAATGCAATTATGAGTCACAAAATGACTGCAAAAACAGAGTCCGCATTTAATTGAGAATGGAAATTGAATAAACATTTGCAAGTTGTAATCGGGTTAGGCCAATGGGAGCTGGAGCTGGAGCAACGATGTCACTCGGCTTATAATTAAATTGTTGCCGGCCACAAAGGCTTCTTAGCGTCTGTGCAGCAGCCAAGGATTCAGTCTTCATTTTGCAATTGGCTTACGGATTGAGGGCTCTGGCAGCCTTTCACTTTGGGCTCAATGCGAAGCTGCCAATGTGTTCAATTTCATACCCTAGCCTGGCCACAGACTTGACTAACAATTTGTCCAGCATTAAAGTAGTTAAAGTCAACTGTAAATTGCGATTCCTTCTCCCAATATTTGTGATTAAAGCAAACTAGAGTCGCTTAATTTAGCACAAACTGTTTACAGGGTATTTGCTAGTCGTACACTTATCTTTACCTCTTGCTTTTTCTGTATTATTTTCTTCTTTTTTTGTTTTTCCGTCTTCTACTTGTGTGTTTTTTTTTGTTGGCAACACTCAGCAAATAAATTTTGCGATTTCATTGCGGCCAAGCAGTTGACTGCAGAACAGAATAACTGAAGACCAGTCATTGGATGAGTGGAGCAGGATTACCACTTGCCCGACGAGCGGCCTGACCACTGAAACGTGCCTTAACTTATAAAATATGGCAAGTGCCAGCTGCCAATTGCACTGGACCGCAATACTAACAATTTGCCCCTTAGCTGAAGCCAAAATACTCTACGTACGACAGTCCTTCATTATAAGTCGATCTATTATTATATAAATAGGTATTTGAGTTCAAATAATGTTAATATATGTATTAATAGAGAAAATATATGAAAATTCTTATTGAATTCATAAAATATAATAGTTAATGATTAGTTATATTGCTAATGAAAATGCCAATGAGAATGATAGTGCTAATGACATTCATAATGAATGCTAATATAAATGCTAATAAGCATAATAATGAGCAATGTTCAATTTTAATAATAATGATGATGATAATGCGTTGGCAACTTCATTCATGCTAATGCTAATGCTAATAATAAATGAAAGATGTAATGAACATGTGAATGTTATGCTAATGCGAATGCTAATAAATGTTAATAAAATTAATAATAAGAAATGTTATTGATAATAATGATATCGATGACAATGAATAAAGATGTCAATGCTAATGCTAATGTTAATGCTAATGTGCTAATTAGAAATGAAAATGATAATGAAAATGCCCATACCACCATTAATACAAATACTAATGCTAATGCTAATGATCCACTGTCAATTATATTATAATGATCAGGTGTGATGAAATTGCCAATGCTAATGTTGTTGTAGGTAAAATTATTTTAAGTAGCGTTACTCAGTTCTTCACTCTGACTCATGTGATTGAGTGCATTACCAGCTCTGCGATTAAGAAACTAACCCTTCCTTGGTCTGCATTGTGTCTTGAAATGAGATGCTTAACCCACATTACCCTACAATGTGAAGCCTATAGAGTGAGGCATTTCTATGTGCTCTAGCTGAGCATTGTCCTAAGTATTCCTGCTTATAGTACCCACCGCAGACAGTTTTTCAAGCATCTTTGACATCCAGACTTGATTTACTATAGTCACTACCTTTACATCTACGATAGCTTCTGCTAGAACCGTCCTTTCTTCAGTCTGTTTTAAGATAATGATAATGATGATTGATAATATGAATATTAATTTTAGTATTCAATCACTAGAAATATTCAATATATTTATTACTATTTAGTTTAATGCAAAAACTAAACTAAAGTATTATTATTCAAAATATTATTAAGTTCTCTAAATATTTAATTAATAAATGAGAGTTTGCATATAATGAAATTGGACATTTCTCTACATTTATATTTAAATGCGTATTACATAATAACTGTTAATGTAGTGCTTCGTCTGTTTAGCGTTTAAGCCACTTTCATCTCTCAGTAGCTGCGTTACAATGCCCATGACATAGTAATGAGAACTGTAGCTTAAGAAGCAAGTGAAGGAACAGAAGTACCAACAGCAGCAGCAGCAGCAGCTGGAGGAGTTGGCACTTGTTGTTGGCCAAGTGGTTGCTATTTGGAACTAGGAATTTGCGGGGACGAAGGCTGAGTTGGGGTGTCAAGGGGCGCCACCTGTTGGCGAGAGCTGGGCCAGGCAGCAAAGGCCGCAACCGACGCATTTTCTTCAAGCGTTCGCTAACCACAGCCACAGCCGTAGCAGCAGCAGCAGCAGCAGCAGCAGCAGCAGCAGCAGCCGCAGCAGAAGC